GGGGAATTCTGGGAGTTGAAGTCCACTCATCTTAAAGTGGCCAAGTTTGGATAACACTGACGTACGTGTTTTTTAAATGTCTTTCTTTTTCTTTCTCCCTCTTCCCCCTCGTCCGACCCTTAGAGGAGGACTCTGCTGCTTAAATTACTGCCGTTTTTGGCCTCCAGCACCGCCTATTTCACTCTTCTGCCCCCTGAGCCCAGCTTGCTGAGCACTGTCGTGAAGTGCCTCCCAACGTTTTCCCTGGCGCTCTTTGTGGCCACTCAGGCCAAGAGCGCGGGTGTCCTGACACCGTACGCCCGGCGGATTTTCCAGGGCCTCTTGTTCTCGTGTGTGGGCGATGCCTGTTTGGTGTGGCCGGAGTCCTTCTTGGCAGGTACGGTATCTGAAGGTGTGGGATGGTGTTGGGGAAGTATTTCGGCTAGAATTTGGGGCTGGTCTCAATCATTTCAGTCGCTTAGCCACCAAAATGAAAAGTGCCATTGCTTTGCATGGATAAGATTCCATATCCCCCAATGGTTGCAGTTGAAAAGAAAGCACATTTATAGTACTGCATCATCATCATATCATCATCATCATCATCATCATCATCATTATTATGGCATTATAACTATTTATCACTTGCTTGTGATTATTGTCTGCTACTTTTCATCCTACCTGTTTCACTTTGCTTGAACAGTCTACATCAGGGACAGACAATCCATGGTCCTGTAGATATTGCTGACCTACATTGTATGGTAGCTTCCAGCATCTTTCACCATAGTTCATATTGATTGCTGGGAATTGCAGCTCAGTAACATCTGGAAGCTCAGTAACATCTGGAGACCCATCATTCCTGTATCCTGTTACTAGTATTTATTTTAGAAGTGTGTGTGTGTGTGTGTGTGTGTGCACGCGCGCACGTGTATGTGTATGCAGTATAGTTATAGTCATAAGTAATTTATGTATAATGTCATCGTTGGAAAAGTTGTCAAAGGCAACCCACAGCATAATTGTTCAGTCTCAGGGCCCGGGTCCTGAGGGCACAGCCAGATGGCGCATGGAAGTGCTTTTCTCCAATCCATGATCTGGCAGGAAAAATATGCTGGCATAAAGACAGCCAGTTTGGCGTAGTGGATAAGGTGCTGTCCTAGAAACCAGGAGGCTGTGAGTTCTAGGCCTCCCTTAGGCATGAAAGCTGGCTGGTTGAGGCAGTCGCTTTCTCTCAGCCCAACTCACCTCACAGGGTTGTTGTTGTGGGGAAAATAGGAGGCAGGAGTATTAGGTGTGTTCGCTGCCTTGAGTTATATATTTAAAAAAGCAGGATAAAAATCTAATAATAAATTACATTGCCTTCATTGCCAATCCCTGTTTTGTCTCAGTAATCATGACAGTGAATGGTTCTGTTTTAATGCAGGACAAGTTAAGCAAAGCAATTGCTGGATTTCCCTGGTTTCACTTCCCTGCCCAAGGGAAAAAAAAGCCATCTATCACACTCCTCAATGTGTGGTGGAGTGGGGCTAGGTGACTTTAGCTGAGTGCTTAGCCAGTTTAGCTACCTGTCAAATCCCCCAGCTAATAAATTGCGGGTGAGGAGGTGTTCTGCCCACTACCTGTCTGTTGGGCCACTTCTGAGCGTGGGTCTGGTGCTTTTCTCTGAGTGCACTAAACACATGTCCAAAAGCATCCTGGCTGGCAGGCCACAGATCTGGAGGAGGAAACAATTACGAAAGAGTCAGCATCACCATTAACTACTACAAGGAAATAGCAGGGCTATCAGTGTCTGTCTGTACCTTGGCAGCCCCTGTAAGCAGCCCGTGGCTTAGGCCCAATGGCCCCCCCCCCCCCCCCCCCAAGTGATGAAAAGAGTAAAAGACATGGCTCAGGGAAGTCCCTGATTAGCAAAAGTAGGGAAAAATCTAATGCACTCATTGGGAGCAGAACCAGCAACACAGAGATAGCAGAACCCACATTTCTTTTCCTGCTTAAATTGACTTTCCACACAGCACGGGACTAATACTCTCTCAAGAGCACAAATCCCGATTTTTAAACCCAGATTTAGCATGTTGAGTGTGCTAAACAGGGATAAATGAGGTGCCCACCCGACAAATGCTTTGGGAAATGCTGGTCAGGCATTATGTGGGCAGCTGTCTCTGTGGAAGCCAGATGTCTGGTCTCTCCTGCAACCTGAACCCACATGGCCATGGATGGCAGTGACCACCGGAGAAGGTGCCTAAAGGGTTCAATAGGAGCTGGGCAGGTTCCAATTCTTGAACACATCATCAACAACATCCTTGATGAAACATGCCTAGATCATTTCCAGAGCAACAACACTGTTGGAAGAAGATGAGAAATGCCACTTTAAACCTGGAACGGCTAAAGATGGCTTTAAACGGCCTCAGAGGTAGGCTGGGGATGAAATGAAAGCAAGATCATGAAGTCATGGCATAAAAACAAGGCTTCATCCCACAGTTTGAGGAGCAGAAGCAAATGATTTGCTTTGTCATGTCCAATACCATTTCCCATCGCATGAGGGCACCAATCAAATGCATATCACAAGAGCCGGGAGAAGGAATAAAATCTAAAGGTACATTTATTGCAACATCTGGGAGGAAATATGGATGATGACAATGCACAGAACTGGTTTTGAGTAGCTGTAGATCTCCTGGTTGTTTTTTACAATCGTGAATAGAAAGACAAGATTAATATAGTGTCCTACCTAGCTCCCGCAATTTGAGGCTTGGATTGTCTTTGGACTGGCAGACAATTATGGATTCTGAGGTCTGGCACAGCTGGAAGGTACCAGATTGGGAAAGCTAATCTCATTCCTGCCCACACAAGCAGGGGGATTTAGCCTTGCTAAAGTAATCCCAAACTGTGGATTAAGCTGAAGAAATGCTCTTACATCCAAGTTGTTGTTTTTTTTAAAGAAAGTTGTGAACATATAATTAAAATAAAATAATGTACATAAATTGCATCTCTTCAATTAAAAGCTTGGTAAAGCTAGGCTGCTTTACCTTTAGAGATGAATATTTAACTATTTCATGGAAGGCAAGGTTCTATAGTAAATTCACTGGTCCTTCAGAATAGTAGTTCTGCAGAGTCGTTTATTATATTAACAGATTGAGGGGACATCAAGGGTACTTTCTGACGAACACCTTTCAGCCCTGTCCAAATAAGTTGGGCAGTTTGTGGATTCCAACCTGGGGCCATAGATACCTCCCTTGGTGACCACTAACCTCCCTGCCCTCTCTGATGTTAAAAATATACTTTTAAAAGCATTCACACACCCCAAAAGTCATTTTTAATTCCAAGAACATCCCTGAACAGTCTTAAAAATAAAAATGACAGGTGGGTTGCAATCCAGTTCTTTGGAAATGTGTCCCCTGGCCCATCCCACCCCTAAAAAACTGACAAGGTAAACTGGGGGTTTAAAGAGGCCACAAAACAGCTTTGGCAATTTGTCTGCTTGTAAAAAAATGAATGCAAATGGAAGTCAAGGGGAACAGGGTGCGTTTCACCACAAACACTTTGCTGGGGTGTTTTCAGTTAAGGGGGAAGGAGAAAGTGAGACTCCAAAACGCATTTAAAAATACGGCCTTCAAGAGACAGGCTGCCTCTGTCATGTTCTGCCTTTTTGGAGCGTGCATTAGAGAGTCAGGCATTAAATATTTATCGGAAATAAACACAGCTACCTTTTAGCCCTGCTGTGTGTGTATCTTTTCTTTCCCAGCTGAATGCAGCACTTAGGCACAAAATTGGGGATGGAAGGTATGCAGTAGTCCAGGACTGAATGAGGCTATTTAATAGGTCATATTCAGAGTGACTTTTCTTGGCTCAGCAGCTCCAGCTCCAGAGGAATCCTGGGCATCTGAGGTCGTAAGCCAGAGAAGGCTGCTGGAGTGAGCAAACAGGCAGTAGCTGATCCTAATGGTGCAATCCGGCCCATTTGGCTGTTGTTCTTCACTTGCCTTTTCTCCCCTTTCTAGGAATCGGTGCCTTTTCCGTCTGCCACATTTCCTACATCTCGGCCTTCGGCTGGACTCCCCTTCAGCCCCTCACCTTCCTGGTCATCGAGGGGCTCATGGCTCTTGGTTACGCCATGATCCTGCTGCCCTGTTTGTCAGGCATCTACACGTGGGCAGCACTACTGTATTCAGTTCTCCTCGGTATCATGGCCTGGCGTGCGCTGTCTTGCTCCAAACGCCTGGCTTCAGCCGGCAGCTTGATCTTCCTCGTGTCTGATCTGTTGGTTGCCCATGACAAGTTCTGTACCTCCTACCCTCTTGCCCGCCTCCTCATCATGAGCACTTACTACGTCGCACAAACCTTGATTGCTCTCTCAGTAACTTCCCAGAAAATCTCCTGGAAGGAGAACTGAGCCCCAGATTGGACTGCTGGGTTGTGCTTCAGGATCAAGAGAACCTCAGGAGTTCTGCCTCTCAAATTCACGCATCTCAAGTTCAACTAACTTCTGGATATATTGGGACTACAACTCCCAGGATTCCCAGCTAGTATGGGCCAACAACTGTGAAAAATCAGCGGCTATATCCATAACCCCCAGCCAATGTGGGCTTTGTGGATTCTCAAAGTTGTAGACCTGTATTCATGGAGGACACCACGTTGGAAGAGACTGGTCAGATTCCCTTCAGAAGTTCCAGCTCCAGGATGTTCTAAGAGCTGCTCCAGTGCCGTGTCCTCCACACTTCTCATTATCTTGTTATTCCAGAGTTTTCCTCCTGGGAGGGATGATGCTGATGATCTAATAATAAAGGGGCTAATGATAAAAAGAAGTATGAAGCATTTACTCTAGTTTAAAGGACAGGTTTGCCAAAAATTCTTTTGTTGCCCAATCAAAGCAGCCCAGGTAGTTGGCCGCATTGCGTGAATGGATGATAGGTTTGGTTGCATGCTTTCTTCTCCTGATCAGAACTAACTTTGAGGACTATCTTCTTCAAGCGTAAACCTTCCTTCCTATCCTATTCTTTTCCACTCAGATACCTCTCAAATGATCCAAGTTATTTCTTAGAAGCCTTTGTATTTTGCTTGGGGATCCCATCATGGTACCCACAAATGTCCCAATGGCTACCAGGTGATTTTCTCTATGGCAAATGGTCTCTCTGCCATACGGATCCTCTTCTCGGGGGCCTCAAATCTCGAACAGGGCTGCCTGTACTGCCCCCTTCACTTTCACAGGACAGACTCCACCAGCGACAGCTCTTTGGATTGATGAGGAAGGAACGGGAGAGAGTTAAATTGGGGCATGAGGGTGTCTTAGGAAAGTTTTGGGAAGGATAGTCCTGTGCAGTGGCAGAAGACAGGATGGGGTTAGGGAAGTGATAGAAAAAGAAAAAAGCTAGAGGAGTTGGAAGGGTGGCATAGAAAGCCACTTTCTCAGGTGACTGCACCTAGCCAGTCTTGTTACTACTTGGATGGTTGACCACGAGGAAATCCCAGGGTTGTAAGCTCAAATGGGAAGTTGCAAAGGCATCCAAGAAGACAAGAAAGGCAACCCTATTTATTTATTTATGTATTTACTGGTCAGCCTTGTAGACTGCTGACTCCAACAGACTCAGGGCAGATAGCAATGTGGGAAATCCTTAAAAACATTTGTTTAAAAAAAACAAAACACCAAACAGAGATCCAGATCCAACATCAGAGCATACCACTGTATCTCCTACAGGAATTGAAAAAGTTCTTGGCTGCCTTCTGGGACCAGGGCTTCCACCATGGTGGGGGGAGGAGGCGGGTCTTAACAAACAACCTCTCCAGCTCCCCTCCTCTGATCTCAGGCACGCTTGGGGCAGGAGGGTTTTTATCAAACCCTCCTGGGTTTCCAGCACCAGAAGGATAAGCTCTTGCCTTGCAGAGACCAAGGTACCAAGCCATAAAGGGCTTTAAGAGGTGAAAACCAGCACTTTTTGTCAAGAAAATTAGGTGGACCACTTGTGTCATCACCAGGAGTTGAGCTTAACTTGAATCTTTACCTTTTATAGAAAAGGCTGAAAACAAAAAAGCTGGAACCACACCTCCCCCCCCAACTTTCCAAAGGATTTTTCTACGGATATTCTGCTCAATTTTCCTTCCATTTCTTTCCTTTCTCTTCTTTGACTCATCCTTTCTCCTCCTGCTACACTTGGGGGAGAAAAATTAATTTCATTTGCATTTCAATGTGAATGTATCTGAGTTTGCATTTTTGAGCCACCACACACGCACACACGCACACATCATTATTTGAAATCCACAGCTCTCTGAAGTTTGCAATGCAGTTTGCTCATGTTTTTAAAATGTAAATCAGGAAAAGGTCTTTGTTGTTGTGTCTTCTCTCTTCTTTCCCAATATCCCTGTCTTTTTTTCTCCTTTTTCCTTCTTCTCAGAAAAGGTAGCAAGTTTAGGGAGACCAAAGCAGCACTGTGTTTGTGAGCTAATTGTGAGCGAGTCCTAGAGAAAGAGCGTGTGTGAGTACTGGTGTTTCCGGGTGCAGAAAGACTGGAGAAATGAATGAGCCGTATTTTTACACAGTAACGGTTGATACTAAACTCAGTCGATTTTCTTTCAAGTATATTTCAAGCAGCGCTAAGCAAGCCAGGTTTGGACAAGGCAGGGAGGAAGACAGAGAGAACATCCAGATGCAAAAATAGTTAAGTGCAATTCTAAATTAGTGAATGAAAGGACCAGAAAGAACAGGAACAGGAGTTAACTGGAAAAAGAGTTTTATACTAAAAAATGGAGACTAAAGACTGCAAGCAATATATGCACTGTAGTTGTTGTAAATAAACTCAGTTAATTCAGCTTAACAGAGAGTCAGGCCTGTTTATAAAGGACAAACAGGGCTAGTACATAATAATTGTGCAGAACAATGGATTTCTTTGTTCCTCCTTATGTGTACGCAGCTAGATATGGAGCTGCCAGGGTGTAGGCATTGTGAATGCTGAGTGTGACAGCTCAGCTTCCCCTTACTGAGCCTTTAGCATAGCTTTCTCCACCCTGGTGAACTGCGGATATGTGGGAGCAACATTACCCAGAATTCCTAGCTGTTAGTTATGCTAGCTGAGAATTCTGGGAATTGTAGATCCCAGATTAGGAAAAACTGGTTTAGCGGAACCCTGAAGAAACTTGAAGAATATTTTCAGGTTTTCTCAAAGGCCTTCCCTAATACAATGGTGCCAGGAAAAGTTGGGGTTTGTTTGGAGGTACATTAAGGTTGATTCTTCCCCAGCTTGAATTAACTTAGCAGGCCCTGTTCTTTTCTCAAGAAGCGTTTACAAAACATACATCCCCATGAGTGCTTTTTCATTTAAAAAAAAAACAACCCTCAAAGCAGGAGAAGCTGCTTATGACTCCAGAGCAATCTTCTTCAATCTAGAGGTTTCCTGATAGATGGGATTTCAGTTCACTTCATTCTCAGTTGACAGGCCTCTGAAGGGCAGGACTGTTCAAATCCATATTCAGAAGGACAACCAGTTGTGGGAATACTCTTGTCTTATATTAGGAAAGGACATCATTTTTTGGAATGGGGTGGTGATGGTATGCACTGGTCTGCATGGAACCCTTGGAAGAAGGCATGAGTGGGGTAGGTCACAAATTGGGTGAAGGTGGTGGGGTCAGGACATGCATGGATGAACACACAGAGAGTCCCATCCATTCATTCAGCATTTGCTCCTCCCCCCCAACACACACTGAGATGGAGGGTGGTGAGCAGCAAGGTTAATGCCTTTTCTCACACACTCACACACACCATCCTGTTCATTGTGTGCAGAGGGAATGGTTCTTCTTTCTCCCTGAGGTCCCCACCTAGACTGAGGTCCTGCCCACAGCTCCAATTTGCATAGGAACAATAATGCTTCCAGTGGTGCCTTTTCCAGTCAAAGGGGTGGTACTTAATTTGGCCAAAGAGATAAGTGCATGTAAGTGAGGGTTTGTTTTCCAGGCAGAAAACTTCCTCCTGGGTTGTGGGTGGGAGAAAGGGAAGGACGCAGTACCTAAAGAGATCAAGAGCCTGGCAGCTGCCAAGATCAAATAGAAGTTGCAGGTTGTCGGAATGTGGGCTCTGGGGGCTTTCTACCCTGGGGGTTATCTATCTGATGGCATCTAGTCTTCTTCATCCAAGAGGAACTTGGCATTCCCTGATGCTGGTAAGTGAATTAAAAACAAGCCAACTCCAGATCACCTGCTCTTTGGTATGCCAATACTTTGGATCATTGTATCAAAAGTAATCTACTCATACCTAAAGCAACTGGATCTCTACATTTAAGGCCAGCACCAGGAGTTGGGATCACTGGGCATTTGCCAACATCCACACTCCCATTGGAAGTCTCCTGGCTGGACTAGTCATCCTCTTCCCTTGCTGGCATTGCAAATGACAGGTAAAAATAGAGCAGAAGAGCCTTTGCACTTTGCCTTCTTCCTTAAGGTGATACCCAGACTGAGCCTTTAGGAACTTACAACTAATCCATCACTTGAGAGCCAGCTTGATGTTGTGGTCAAGGCATCAGGCTAGAAACCGGGAGACTCTGAGTTCTAGTCCCGCTTTAGGCATGAGGCCAACTGGGTCACCTTGGGCCAGTCCCTCTCTCTCAGCCCTAGGAAGGAGGCAAGGGCAAACCACTTCTGAAAAACCTTGCCAAGAAAACTGCAGGGACTTGTCCAGGCAGTCTCTGAGAATCAGATATGATTGAATGGGGGAAAAAAATCACTTAGGGGGTTATCCTGCATTTCCTGTTTTTGCAATTCGTAAATCTAGTTCTTTTCATTTCTGCATTGATTTGACTTCTTCCCCCAGGGCCCTTGATAATTTATAACTCTGCTTTCATGCTTTCATAATCGGGGTGCTTCTGTGTGAGCGTTTGATGATAATGATTATGATTTCGCAAGCAATTAAAAAAAAACCTTAATCGGATTTTCACACATATGCCCATTTGTGTGTGTCCCTTTCCCTGATGTATATATGCTTATACTATTTTTTCCCCCACTAGAGAATTGTGACATTCCGCAAAGTGTGAATTTTGAAGGGCAACTGACTTTCACTGTATTTGTTTAAGAATGTCAAGTTAACCAAATCTTCAGGAAAAGCTGCACCGAAAGGATTTCTCCCCCTTGTATGGCAAGTGATAATAAATGGCAGCTGTGAGGGGGGAGAGGGGCCCAATTCTGACATCTTGCAAAGAATCAAAATGTAATGTTGGACTTGTTGAAGTGCCTAGTTTCTTGGAGAATGATTACATTTATAATGTTATGCAGCTCACTTGCCCGCCCACCCATCCCTGCACCCTACTGTGGTTGTGACTTATTTGTGGGTGAAAGGATTTTCATTTCAGTTGCTTCTATTCATCCTTGTTCTGGTTGAGAAATGGCGGATGGTTCACTGAGATTGTTAATTTAAAGACTTTGTTTAGCAGGATGTTAATTATCAGGAGCCGAACTTTATAATTTGGGTTAGCGTTAAGAGGAAATAATAATTCCTCCAATAAAGAGGAGACCTGAGATCTTAAGGATATGGAGAAGGACAATTTTAACTCTGTAACGGGGTTCCTACATCGTGCTATGCTGGCTTCATTTATGCTTCATCGAGTAAGCTTCAAAAAGCTGGCTGGTTTGTCAGATACCATGCCATAAATCATTTCAATTCAATGTTATTTATTCTGGTCTTTAGCCAGCAAAACCATAAGCCATAGTTTATCCATCATCACCATGGGCTAGGAATGCAAGACATGCTAAAACAGATCCAGCCAACGTGTTATTACTACCATGTTGTGTAAAAGGTTTCTCTCTCTCTGTGCCAAGATCCCCCCGCCCGCACCAAAAAAATCCTTCCTAGGAAGAAGGAATTTAAAACTCAAAGGAAGCCTTTGTTCATTTAAAAGTTACACTATGCTTCCTCTTCCACCTCATTCAAGGTGCTGCAACTGCAAACATTGCTGGCTAATTGCATTTCCAGAGCGTGTGGCCTCTTGTCCTCCTTGGTCCCTAAATTGTTTTGAATGGATTTGCACCTAATGTACTTGGGATTTAAACTACTGCCAGAAGTAGCACAGATGCCCTTGGCAAGAATGTGACCGTACAAATAATTGGGGTGGAGGGAAGGAATGCAAACCTTTAGTTTCCCAGTCTCCTATTTTTCTGTAATGGACGCAGCTCACCTGACTCTATACGACAGTGTTGTCCAAACTTGGCCACTTTAAGATGAGTGGACTTCAACTCCCAGAATTCCCCAGCCAGCCATGC